ACGAAAAAAAAAAAAAAAATTTTTTCGAACAAACGATATATTTGAGTCTTTCCAAGAGTTTCTCCACGCGGAGAAGAATTCTCTAAAAAGTTTAAGCCTTTTCAAATTTTCCCAGATAACTAAACATGTTGAATGATCGATGTTGAATGACGGATTTACGGACGATCGGTGTGCAATGACACATGACACACTTCGCGTAAAAACGGGGAATTCCGTGGAAGAATGCGGAAAGGGAATATCTCGCGGGTCCGCTCGCAATTTGCTTGTTCACGATTTGCGAAACACGACAGATATATCTCGTGTGACCTGTGCGCAATGCGTTAAGGGGTTAAAGCGATCGCGATTTCAGCGTGTGCGTCGTACACACGCGGGATTCCGGCGTGCAAGCCGCGTGGGCCGCTGTCGTTACGACATCGCGCGTGCAGTGCACGCGTCTCGGTGCTAGTGCTTGGTTTACGTGTTAACGTTACATATGTGCCATATGCACACGTAATTTCTCCCAACGATCATTTCTGAAATATCCGCATACGTCGAAATAATTGTGAGGGAGGATTTGACCGACTGTACTGACGGTACTGACAAGAGAGTTTTCGCAAGACGAATCTATATTCACGTATATTGTATTTATATCTAGTATGTTCATTCGTAAGCTTTACTTTCGATCGATCAGAGGAATATTCTGAAATAAATGACGTAGACATATATCCTCGATATATTCTGCTTAGCATTGACGATATATGGCAATTATACGGAAAAGACGGTTTCATGTTTGATTGTGCCAAAATTTTGTTTAAAAATGAAAACGAATCAGAAATTCGGGGTGAAGTTATTAGAATTGAGTTTAAACTAACAAGATTTAATTCAAAAAGATTTAAGTCTACACTGAATTCGATTGATTTCAACCGAAATTTCTGATTCATTCACTTTTAAATAAAATTTTGATACAGTCGACCAAATTATTTTTTTCCGTGTGCACATAAAAAAAATTAGATTTAAATCAAAACTATATATCCTCATATATAAGCAAGAATATTATATAATCCTCATAAATATAATAAAAGATTTTTGAATTAAACAAAAATAATACTTGCATCAATTTCACAAATTCAAATAAAGATTAACATTTCTAAGATTATAATATTTTTGCTTAATATATGAAAATACTTGTCTTGATTTAAAGCTAATTTATTTTCTGTGTGTATAACTTATTTTAATAATTTTCAATTTATCGCGACAATAAAGCGTCATCTAGTCATTACAAATACACATGTAAAGTATGTAGGTAAATACGTTTCGTGCGCTATTGTTATACGGGAGGATCTTTGTATAGATTCGACAGAAAGGGACGGACAGAAATCAGACATCAGCACTATTGTGTACTTTAGCTTATAATGTTCTATTTGTACGGCTCATAATTATTCTGCGGTATGCTGCATGTCGGCAGGACAAGTTCTCTCACGATGGGGATAACAGGTTTATTTGAACAACGAGCTGTCTGCCGAGAAGAGCCCCTATCGCGTTGTTGAAAATTTCACCACCCCGATCAACCGGAAACGGATCTGGATTAATTGAATATGGACATCGATGAAACAACGATATTAAAACGATATAAAAACAAGGAAAAAAACGATTTACGAAACTAACAACTTGTTACTACGGTTATTAAATAATAGTGATAATAAAGATAAATAAAAATAAAATAAAGTTTAAACATAAGCAATATTAATAAAATATGAATGTAATATTTTAACAACATACAGAAAAAAACACACTAACTTATTAAAACATTTTTTAAGAATATTTTTGCTAGCTGACAGCGTGCTGCACAACAAAAAAATCAATTAGTCTTAAATCAATACTATATACTCTCATATATAAACAAAAATGTTATAATCTTCACGTAGAAGATTTTGAGTCTTTGAATTGCGCAAAATACTTGCACGAATACAAATTCAATCAAATCAAGACCAAAAACTTTTAAGAAATCCTAACAATCCTCTTGCTTATATGTGAGAATATTTGTCGTGATTTAAGGCTAATTTTTTTTTCTCTCTGCGGATTAACGCAACATTAATATCCCTAGGAAAAGCGTTTCGTATAAATCGCGTTTGATCAACTCCAAGTTACGTAGCGGAAAAAGAGAATCGAATTCGATTCGTGGGTAGAGCTCGACGCTCGAATGCGCGAGAGACTGGTATCGCCGAGATAGGCATCACGGACAGCCGAGAGTTCGGATGTTTACGGCACGCGATTCGCGAGCGCGATAAAGCGTGCAAACGCGAGTTGGGCCCTTGTAAGCCGGAATGTTTTGCTCCGTCCTCCACGCCGTCTCGCGCGCGCTGCCACCGCTGCCGCCCCGTCACCACCAATAAATCCTCGATTGGATATATTACACCTATTTTTATTCGCAATTAGAGATTATTCTAATCGCGCGTTTCAGAGTGATTAACGAAAAATTTCGCAGCGATTAGAACCTAATCAAAAATTACTTAAAGTAGAAATGCTATGCTCCAACAACCTAAACCTAATTAAAAAATGACAAATTTTTAATTTTTTTTTATATAATAAGTACTTTCAGTATTCTTCATGATTTATTCCATGTAAAATTCCATTGCGATACAGAGATTGATTTTTTTATCTGAAAATATTTATTGTAAGATAAAATTTCTGGAATTGTATATAAATTAAATAAACAAAAACTTGTATGTTGAATATAAGTATAAATATTCTTTGTGCAATTGTCCAAGCGTGAAATTGGATTCTTTATGAAATATTTCCTATACAGCATTTCATTTGTCAAAAGGTTTCAATGGCAAACTCAAAATTTGACAAAGCGAGACTGGATAAGAAAGAAATCTATTGTAATAGTAAAACTAATAAAAAAATTAAAAATTTGATTGAAAATTAAAAAATGATGAAATTGATTATTTCACGCTAAATTACGCCACATAAATTGACTTTAAATTATCTTTCTCTATCATATTATCATAGATAAGAATAGAATCTAGATAAAAACAAACTTGCTGAGCCAAACTCCATTTAATTTCATAATCATTAAACTGTGAACAAAGCGTAGAAGCGTTTGATTTCACCATTGATTCTCCAGCAATGGGCATCGTAGGGGAAGGTATATCCCGATAGAAGTCACCCCCGCATTCACAACGGCATAATCTTCTCTTTCGTCGCCCTCATCCCTTTTTCTCTCTTCTTTTCATCATCTCTTTCCTTCTCTCTTTCCTCTCTGCATCAATAATAGTCACCCATGCGCAGGGTCTCTCAACTCGATCTTTTTCCGTAAGGCACATCGGCAAATAGATGACTGAATTATGCAAATTTGCAGCTGATAGAAACAATGCGTACACAGAAAAAAAATTAATCTTAAATCAAGACACTTATATATTACACATATAAGCAAGAATATTATTATTAATCTTAAAAATTTTAATTTTTATTTGATTGAATTTGTATTTTGATGCAAATATTACTTTTGCTCAACTCAAGACTAAAAAATCTTCTATACGAAGATTATAATACTCTTGCTTATATATATATATATATATATATAAATAAAAATAATAAAACCTTGATCTTAATTTTTTGTGTAACTCGTCTTTTTCAACCGTAACCCCGTTCCGCGAGAGGTGAGCTAAAGTTAAATAAAATGATATATGC